CACCGCAAATGGAACGTTTGGCGGCACCTCCGAATCGGGATGAGCCCCGACGACCGGTTGAGGAGGAGGAGGAGGTGGAGTAGGAGGAGGTGGTGGATAAAACCTGGGAGCAGTAGAAACTCCATAAGTCTCGGGAACAGAGTCATCCGGAATGAAGAATCGGGAGCTGAAGAAGACTATGCGCCTATGTGAGGACCAGGCTGACAACCGAACATATCTCCGTAATGACTCCCCTGAAGAGGCCTCTTAGCCCTATCAAGCTTGCTCTTTCTAGTCATCTAAATTTCACAAAAAAAATTAAAACATTAATATAGTATTATCATTTTAAAAAAGTTAAAAAAACTAAATTAACATAATCTAAATTCCTTAAACTAACCACCTAATCTAAATTCCCTAAACTAACCACCTAATCTAAATTCCTAATCTAATCACCTAACTAGGAAATAGAGACAACCTTAGAGAATTTAGAGAGAAGATTGCTACAAATGAGAGAAATCGGATGGCTAGAGTTTCTATAGAGAATTTTGTTTCCTCTTAAGGTCCAAGTAAGTTTACGAGGAAATAGCTATGCCCGCGTTTAGGGTTTCGAGGCCTTTACGAGGAAATAGTTATGCCCGCGTTTTATTTCCTCGTAAAATCCTAGAGACAGTGTTACTCGGAACCTGGATGTCAAAAAAAAGGATTTGTTGTATCTTCGTCCACCATTGACATCAACTACACCGTTCTTGTTAATCCGAACACCTTTGTTGACGACGAAGTCGTACCACTCACACTTGAAGTTAACACATTTCAAACTCATACCTGGGAATTGAATTTCATAAATCTCCTGCAAGATCCCGTAGAAATCTGTTTCGCCTTTCACACATATTCCATAGTTACTTGTCGCCCGGTGTCTACCATAGTCATAGGTATGAAAAGTATAGCCTCGGGTGAAATACATCGATGATGCAGTGACCTTTGCAACTGGACCTTGTAGTAATTCGCGAAACCATGCGCGATACTCATGATCGTCATAATCAACCTGAAAAAAGGTAATAGAACTAGACATTAGATTTACTTTGTGGTAATGTATGCATAAAATTTAAGCTATAATAAATACATGTTTCCTCAACCACTTGATAAAGTGTTGTTCTTTTCTTTTGTCTAACTCAGTTGTCGATATACCAGGTATTGCTTCTTCGACTTGAGTCACAAATTGGCTGTAAAATCATATATGTTATGCTATTTAATATTGATATATATATATATATATATATATGTGTGTATGTTTATATATTTACCTTTCAAAATAACCAATCAATGGATGCTCGCAATTAAGAAGAACATAAATGTGTGCACTTCATCACTCGACCACCAAACCTCTTTCAATTTCTCACCCAATCGCCCAATTTGACAAAAGATGTCTGGAATATCGTCTTCCATATATGTCGGCACGACACCACCATCATCATATCTTCTTGGAGCTCGTTTTTTAGTACGTACTTTCGGTGCAAAGTAGTACGATGTGAAATGTGATGTTTCTTCCGTCAAATTTCCCGCAACAATAGAACCTTCAATTCTTGCTAGGTTTTTGGCTTTTCTTTTCAAAGCTTTCATGGCCCTTTCATACTAATACATCCATCCATAATGCACAGGTCCACGAAGTAATGCCTCATACGTGAGGTGGACAACTAGGTGTTCCATGACGTCAAAAAAGTAGGCGAAAATATTTTCTCCAAGTTGCAGATTAAGATGGGGATGTTTTCATGAAGTTGTTGGACAACTTCCTCTTTAAGAGTGCGGGTGCTTAGATCCCTAAAAAAATGCTCCAATTCCTTATATATTACAAAAACAAAAATTATACACATTAATATATATATATATATATATATAAAGAAATAAATTAATCTTTGCGTCGTATTATATTAATTACCTGAAAATGCTTCATGTACTTTTGCCGATAGTAGCTCCGCAAATGCAAAGGGAAGTAGTCGCTGCATAAAGACATGACAATCATGGCTCTTCATCTTGAGAGATTTCAAACATACCCATCAGGGAACTTCACTTCTGAAGCCACCCGGTTGAACAACGCAGACTTTTTTCTGATGAGAGTCTGAATATCGGAATTGGAACTTGGCCATTGCTTTTAAATGTAGCTGACTCCTTGAGCAGATATCGGGTAAGTACAACCTCGATTTTACGTTGTCTTTCGTCTTCCCTGGGACATTCAATATAGTGTTCACGATATTCTCAAAAAAATTCTTCTCTATATGCATCACATCGAGGTTATGGCGCAAAGGAAAATCTTTCCAATATGGCAATTCCCAAAATATACTTTTTATGCCAATTGTGATGAACACCATAAGAATCATGCATATTATTGAGAACATGCCAATTCCCACCACGAGGAACTGTTTCTAGAGCAGCGTAGTAATCGATTTGCGCTTCGATTTGTTCTCCAGTTAAATATGGAGGAGAAGTGTCTCTGACAACCCTTTTGTGCCTGAACAATGTCTTGTTTTTTCGGTATGAGTGGTAAACGGGAAGAAATCGACGGTGACAATCGAACCAACTAGTCTTCCTACCATACTTCAACTGAAACGCATTTGTCATTCCATTACAACATGGACAAGCTAATCTCCCATGTGTAGTCCACCCAGACAACATCCTATATGCTGGAAAGTCACTTATGGTCCACAAAAGCGTCGCTCGCATCGTAAAATTTGTTTTCGTTGAACAATCATATGTCCTTACCCCTGTTGACCACAAATCTTTCAACTCTTTTATCAGTGTTTGTAGAAAAACGTCGAGAGATCTTTTTGGATGCTTTGGACGAGGTATTAATATGGTCAAGAATAGAAACTCTTGTCGCATGCACATCTCCGGTGGCAGGTTGTACGGTGTAAGAAAGACCGGCCACAATGAATATTGTCTCCCTGACATTCAAAATGGACTAAATCAATCAGTGCATAATCCAATATACATATTCCGGCTATTGCTAGCGAAATGTGGATGTACATTGTTAAAATGTTTCCAGGCTCTTACATCTGATGGATGAGTCATCTCTCCATCCGTCTGAGTATACTCGGCGTGCCATCTCATCCCTCCAGCAGTCTCCTCAAATTGGTACAATCTTTTCAATCTGTCTGTGATTGGTAGGTACCACATCCTTTGGTACGGTACCCTATTACGCCCTCGACCTTGCGGTTTGAATCGTGGCTTCTTACAAAATCGACATTCTTCTAACTTCTCATCATCTCCCCAATAAATCATGCAGTTGTCGATGTAAACGTCTATCATCTCCGAGGGCAACCCAAGACTATATAGAAATTCCTGAATCTAATAATAAGATTCAGCAGACACATTGTCTTCTGGCAAATACTCTTTACACAAGTCTGCCCATGCATCCATACAATTTTCAGGTAGATTGTGATTGGTTTTAATGCTCATCATTCTAGCAGCCAAGGACAATTTAGACAGACCTTCTCTACAACCACTGTAAATTGGCTCATTCGCAGCTTCTGACATTTCATAAAACTTTTTTGCATCTAAGTTAGGTTCTTCAACTTCATCATCATCATGAGTTACAAATGCATCACCTACCATATCATGAACCCTATCACAATCTACCATTTTTTNCTACCATTTTTTCCTCTTGGTGATGATAGTTATTTTCACTACGCAAATGATCAACAGGTTCAACCTGAAAATTGCTATTACTACTGTTACTTTCATTCCTACAACTAGCATCTTCTCCATATTGATACCAAATATAATAATATGGCATAAAACCTCTATTTATTAAATGCTTCCAAACATTTTCACGAGGGCCTAATTTTGTATTGCAGCATTTCCGACAAGGACAGAACATCTTACCACTTTCCTGCGTGAGTGGTGTAGAATCTGCTTGATGCATAAACGTCTCCAACCCTTCGAAAGATTCCTTCCTCACTCTCCCGTTATTATCTCTGTGTGAATACATCCACTTCCGCAACTCGAAAATATTTCCCGGACCAGACATTTTTTTTGTCTTTGATCAAGCTTAAAGCTGATTTTTTTTGTGTGTTTGAAATGAATCACAAATGGTGGTACTTATAGAAATTTTCGAATCTGAGCATTTACTAGGAAATTGCTAGGAAAGGTAGGTACAAAACACGTTTTAGATTTAAATTAGATATTTTTTTATCAAGTTTCTCGCTAATTTGAAGTAAAAGATCATTTCCTCCTAATTTCGCAGTAACGTTTTACTAGGATTTTACGAAGAAAATATTTACTATGAGATTATGAGGAAATGGTCTTTTGCCACGTAATTTCTTCGTAATTTTACTATGGTCTTACGAGGAAACAATTTTCTTGTACGTGTACGAGGACTTTACGAGAATACTTGTTTTCCTTGTAAAATCGAAGTAATCTCGTAGTAAATTTACAAGAAAATATTTTCCTATTAAAATTTCCTATCAAATTCTTAGTTTTCTTGTAGTGGGAACAAAACCAGGGGAGATCATGACATAACTATATTCTGCCGCATATTGCATAGTGCACCATCACATCGGAGTTGTGCCCATCTTCAAACACACTCGGCTCCAACAACTTGTTCTAACTTCTATAACTTGCAAAATAGCACAAACGACAACTAATTTACGCAGAATGGACAGATATATTTTACCGGTCAAGACGGAGACAGCCCAGCATTTATCCTTTGTATATACCTCCAACTGTTGTTTTGTAATAATATCATGTAACAATTGATTTTACAAGTAGAAATGAAGGAGGATGTTAAAAAAAAAAGAACAGTTGTTAAATTTGGTTCTATTTTTAATAAGCGAAGGCCCAAAGAGAGTAGTGAGCAAAGAAGAATATAATAAAAAAAGAGTAATAAACAAATCAATGAATCATCATAGAATTAAAATGATCAACCGATCTTGATTGATTCTGACCGTTTCTAGCGTTGGCTTCATTCTCTCCCGATCATCACACCGATTCTCTTTCGATTCCGTCTTGTACTTTGTGTGGTGAAAATCATGGGCAATGTAACCGGTGGAATTCGCCGAGACCATCCCCTGCATCCTCCGCCGTACCCAAACCCTAACCAACCTCCGTTGCAGTATCACCAGTACCACCAGGGAGGCTATTATCCGCCGCTTCAATACCACCAGAATCAAGGTGCTAGGGCTCCGATGACTCCTCAGTATCCTTACGTCGAGCACCAGGAAGCAGTCACTATAAAGAACGACGTCAATCTGAACAAGCAGACCTTGAGATTCGAGCCTGATGAATCAGACCCCCGCAAGTTCTTGCTCTCCTTCACCTTCGACGCCAACGTTCCCGGAAGGTAAAAACCATCCTCTGTTTAGTATTAGAAGAGATTGTTAGTATTATTACAGAACAGTAGGGGATGATTCTCGCATGACTCTTAAATGATTTTGTTGTCTGATCAACAGCATCACTGTAATGTTTTGATTATTGTTACTGTGATGTTCTGACATGACTCTTACTGATTTGTTTTTGTGATCAACAGTATGACTGTAATGTTCTTTTCTAAAGAAGGCAAAGATTGTGACTTGGTTGAAACTAAGGAGGATCTGTTTCCATCTACAAATTTTAGTTTCCCAAAGGGTTTGGGACAGAAGTTCCAGCAACCTTGTGGGACATGGATTGAGTTGTCTGCTTTATCAGAGGCTGAGTTGGTTGAGGCGAACGAGTCTGGTGTGTATCATGTGGTGGTGAAGGCAGAGGCATCATCATCATCAGAAGATGATGATAATGATCTTGAGTCTAAGACACCGAATCGTCAGATAACTCACGCGGTTTTGGAGAAGGATAAAGGAGGTGAGTACAAGGCTAAAGTGGTGAAGCAGATCTTGTGGGTGAATGGGAGCAAGTATGTTCTTCAGGAGATTTATGGGATTGGTAATACAGCTGCTGATACTAGTGGAGAAGATGAGAACGAGACTGGTAAAGAATGTGTGATTTGCTTGACTGAGCCACGAGACACCACTGTTCTCCCTTGCAGGCACATGGTAAGCAAAGATAGTTACAACATCTGTTTTGCAATCTACTTAAGCTGATATAGATTGATTAATGATAAACTTTCATTTGTATTTGTTGTTGTTTTCATAGTGTATGTGTAGCGGTTGTGCAAAGCTTTTGAGGTTTCAGACAAACCTCTGTCCCATCTGTAGACAACATGTTGATAAGCTTTTGGAGATAACTGTCAACATCAATGGCTCCAACCACTGAGCTCTCTGCCACGTTGCTCTTCCCATGTTATGTACAGAGTCAGCTTCCCACTGTTCTTGCTTTGTGGTTAGATATACAGTCGTTGAAACTCATGTTACTATGCCGTGTGACACTTTAATTCCAGTTTTTACCTTCCAAGTGTTAAGTATATATCATTAGGCTACTTTTGGTACAATATAAGACGAGTTCAGGTCTTGTGATCGGTTGAATAAATAGACTAGGGCTGGGCAAAAAAACCGAACCCGAAAATCCGAACCGAATCCGGTCCGATAAAAAGGAACCCGAACCGGTCCGAACCCGACATAAGTACCGAATGGATCTTGTTTTACGGTATTTTGGGTTATGGGTATTACCCGAACCGAACCCGAACTTAAATGGATATCCGAAAGAACCCGAAACTTTAAAACTCCTAAAAAACTTGTATCATATCCAATGTAAATTTCTAATATGTTTTCCAAAACATATTAATATATTATTGAGTACCTACAATAATTAGTTATGATATAAATAATTAACTCAAATATTTAGTCTAATGTATAGTGTTATTTGGTTATTATTAATTTTATGATTGACATTACATTTGAAGTTAAGTTACGAATAAATTTTTTTTGAAGTTTATATAATGTTGTTTTTTTTAAGTGTAAATAGTACTTCTTACGTTTATAGAATTGTTAGTTGTTCACTTTAATTTTTTTATAGAAATTGGTGGGATTGTCCTTAAATACACCTCATATTTGCCATCTACCCTTCCAAAATAGAAACTATTTTGTCTGACCATTATACCCCTATCTCATTCTCTCTCTCTTCTCTTCCCTATATTCTAATCTCTTTATCTCTCACACATGACATATTTATGCTTTCATTTTTTCATCATAAATCTCTATTTTTTACTCTGATTCTTTTGACACCCATATTGCTAATGTTATTATCTCACACTAATTCTATTATTTCGAATTTCAAATCTTGAAATATACATTCTTTTATTTGGATAATATGTAAGTTAGCAGCTATTTCATTATTTATCCGTTATTATTATATTTTAATGAATTTGTAACCAATACATAGAGTGTTAGCTGTTACAAATAGGATTATGGCTATTTGATAGATAATTTGATTAGCGGTTAATATATGTGTTTTTATGATAATAGTATTGTTAACATGCTAACATGTTTGTTAGCGATTTATTTAACACATTAATAAATAGACGTAACCCGATAACAAAATTTGTAGCATGTTAAAATTTTGTCAATTTGCTAACAATTTTTATATCATGTTAAAATTGATAAATATCTCTTAGTGTTCAGTTAACATAATGTGTATCCGCTAAATCTAGAGTTACATGTTTTCGATAAAGTAAGAGGGTATTTTCGTCCGCACAGTGTCAAAAGGTTACTCCTTTTTGGATTATCCACATCCATGGACATTCGGTCAATTTGGATCTTCGTTAGGTACATTACACCAATTGTCTCATTTTTTTATGTTTCATTTTGTATAATATTTCGTTCATACAAGGTTTTGGTTTGTCATTAATCATGACAATATTATTTTGAAGGAGAACAATATGGTTTGTAGATGCTAAATCATATTGTTCAATGACAAATCTTATTTGGTTGATAGACGAGTTTCACAATATTATTTTGAAGGAGAACAATATGGTTTGCAGAAGCTAAATACACAAATTTAATAAAAGGATTGAAAATATAGTGAGTTTAATTGAGTATAAATTAGTACTTTTAGAACCGATAACCCGATTAGTATCCGAAACCGAAATTATTTCGGGTTCAACCGGATCTTGGACATGTTACTAAATCCGAACCGAACCCGACTAAACCCGAACCGAGTCCGACCCGAATTTTTATAATATCCGAATGGGGCTGAAATTCATGAACCCGAAAACCCGAAACCCGAATGAATCCGAACCGAAACCCGATTGGGACCCCGATTGCGCAGCCCTAAAATAGACCATTAAAACCAACGTAGCAACATCACAATTACAAACTTCATAGTGGCGACTGCTTATTTTAGGTCAAACCATAGAAGCTCCCCTATCGGTGGAGCAAATTTCCACGGCTTTGTTCTATACATACATGAGTAAAGATTGTAGCAACTTAGAAAAACAAGACAAATAACTTCAATCAAACAACAGTATTTAGGGATCTAACTGTGAATAAGAAAAGTTACGGGTTGATTCTTGAGATGTTCTGAAAGTAAGGGGGTCTAAAAATGAGTTTTCCAATGACTGGAAGTGGCTATGTAGTGGTGGATATAAAACACGTGTAAATGACACATCTGTCGTGTGTGTTTGTGTCTTAATAATCTCTCTTGTCCGAAAACAGATCTCCGTTTCCTACAAATCATTCTCCTTCTCGTCTCTTACGTTGTTGGAGCTGATCTTACAGATTACGGATCGTGTTCATGGACGGAAAAGGTTCTGCCGGAAAGGTATCGTTAACCATCCCTATTCTCGCGAGTTGCTGCTTCTGTATAAGATCCAACGCCTCCTTTTCTACGATCCCTGCAATTAGATTTCTTAGAGATGTTCTCTTGATTATTATTTGGAAATTTAGACTATTTTGTTAATGATCTAAAGAAACAATGTGACACGCGAATTTTAATTTTGTGAAGAAATGCAAATTGGTTCAGGTGTGGGGTTGCATGCATTGCAGGACATATTCTTGCATTTATATATGACAAATGTATATCAATTTTCAAGTCTAGCTTCCACTGAATAATGCAAAAAGATGAATCTATATTAGTTCTTGTATGTACTTTTATTATGTTGCTTGTATTTTGACACATAATCGTTGGAGAATGATATTCTAAATCAAATGTGAAACCAGCAGCCCTTCTCATTTTGGAACATTATTGATAGTGTGATGATTTACAAACAATGGCATTTCCTGTTGCATGCTCGTTTTACTTGGTGTATGCGTGGTCCTAGTGTGTTTGTTCTAGATCATTTATGTGTTTTGGTATGATGTTTAATATGGAACTCATTGGTTTAACATTTTCATAGGTGGCTGCTGAAGCCAAAGGAATGAACCTGGGACTAATCGTGCTACTTGTTATCGGAGTTCTGCTTGTTGTGTTCCTTGTCGCCAATTACGTGATGTACGTGTATGCTCAGAAGAACCTACCCCCAAGGAAGAAGAAGCCCGTTTCTAAGAAGAAGCTCAAGAAGGAGAAGCTGAAGCAAGGAGTCCCTGTGCCCGGAGAATAAAAATCCCCCACCGTAGCTTCACTATTTGCCTTGTTCAGAAGGCTTATAATTGTCATCAAACTTCACACTTTTTGTTTCGTTTTGTTTGTTATCATAACATTTTGCTTCCTTTACTATTGTGACACGAGTTCTGCATGATTCTATTTTGTTTGGTTAAACTTTTTTTTGGTATGTTTTAGTTTTGCCTTCACATACCTTTGATTGCAGAGATTTGTGTCTTTTCCACACGACTACATTAGGTTCCAACTTCAATTTAAAGAAGAATATTTCAGCTTCATCTAAATGTCCATCAGGAGCTAGTAAGCCAGACTATGCAAGAGCAATGGTCTTTGGTCGGTGTAATCCAGTTTTCATTTTGCGTGATTCAATACAGCTTCAAGCCTTCTTTCACATGACTACATGTTGCAAGAACACCAACAAACGTTACATGGTTTGGCTCTATCCTTGTAACTTTTCATTTCCTTAGAACAATACGAGTAAGAAGACTGGAAAAAGTCTCAGCTTGAAAGTCAGCAAGATCAAGGTTTGTCTCCAAAATGGTAAAACAAATTGTGTGTCCAAAATCAGTGCGGAGGATCAGCTTGAGGGTTGATGGAATAAAGGTATGATGTCTGAAGGAATTAATAGTTCTACTCGTGCTCTCTGATACCATATTGTGTTGGTATGAATCAGATGATTATTATTGATGAAGTAGGCTCTGTTTATATACAGAGAAGTATTATTGTGTACATGGTCAAGAGTATGTGACCGTTAGATAAATATATGGAGAATATACAAAAGTGATGAGATGATCAATTAGGTGATATGTGGAATCTGGTTTCCATACTCTCACTTTATATAATGGAGCTATGTTTTCTTAACCCTTTAAAAGTCCAGAAGTAAACAATAGGAAGTAAGAGCACCATTATGGGAGGTTCTGATAATGGTTTCTCTTAATTATGGGTGATTTAATTAAATCATTAAGAAAATAAAAAAGCTGATACCGATCCTTTATTTGCAGTTAGAGAAACGCAAGGAGATGGGTTTTTAAAACCACGTGTCAGCTTGTGAAAAAAAGGAGACGCAATTTTTTGTTTCTTTTCTTCTCGGTCTCTCGACTTGTCCGTGTTCCTTTCGTCTTCTCCACCTCCATGAACAGGCGATTCATTTCTTTCTCTCGACTTCTCCTCTGTTTCAGTTAGAACATACATATCGATTCTCCTTCTCTGTGGGAAGCGCCAGATGATTGCCTCCTCTTTGACGATTTAATCGATTAAGCAAAGTTTCGCCGCCGTTCGTCTATCAGCACCGACCTTGGTCCTCCGGTAAGTCTTTTTCCAAATTCGAGACTACTCTTGAAATCTGAGCTGCATCGGAAGTATTTGCGATATGAGTTAGAATTGGTCTCTATTTAGTTTTACAATTGCATGATCATGTCTCCATCTTAGATTGCAAGATTCTTTTAATTTGATTGTTTCGAAAGCATTTTAGGTGATTCGAGACCAGTTTAATGATTTGTTCAAGTTCTCTAAGATGCTGCTACTGGCATAGCTCTAGCGTTTGTTGTCTCTTTTCTTACCTGGTTTTGTGTTCATTGACTGATAGAGAGGAGGTTCAAGGCTTACTGGAATGAGGGGAAGGAGGTACACCCTATCACCGTCACCACCTAGAGGCCATGGGAGGAAAGTTTCAAGCCCAAGCCGTAGAGGAGGCCAATATAGAGCTCGTAGAAGGGACCTCTGTATCAGTTTTTTTTGTTTGCAATCTAAACTATGATTGCAGGTTGGCTGTAGTGTCATTAATATTGGGACACAGGACCTGGCTGAAGGACGAGTATGCTTTGCTAGCTTGCTTGTTTTTAGATATATATATATATGTTTATACAAATATAGAAGATTGAAGGCTTTTCTTGTTTTTGCAGCCTCACCTGGTGTTTGGATTGATCTCCCAACTCATCAAGGTCCACACTGGTTTTGCTATTAGCATCTTCCTTTGTGTTTGTGCTTGATGATTTACTAACTAATGTTGGGACTTGGGAATCGCAGATTCAGCTTCTCGCTGGTCTAAGTTTGAAGAAGATGCCCCAGCTTATTGAGTTGGTGGAGGACAAGGAGGTAATGATCAAGCTTTATCTCTTTGCCAGTTTCTGACCAAAGTATGTGTGAGCAGTAAATATCAGTAACGAGTTTCCCGTATGTTTCATATATATACTCTTGTTTTCTACGCAGGTAACATGACACAAGACGAAGCTGGATCACGTAATCATCTGCACTCCTCCACAAGTAATCAAAAACAAGTAAATTTTCTTTTTTGAGAAACTCAAATTAAGAAACTACCATTGAAGCTTAAAAATTAGGTGATTCTTCACTAAGGTCTTTAGATAAAATTTATTAGTTAAATAGTCATTAAAGTGTACTTGAGAAACCTTATGAGTTTCTAGGGATAATGATGCTCTAAGGCTGGTCGAAAATGCTGTAAATAAATTCTCATCTTTAACATTGGTGTTCAACTTTTCAATATTTTATTATATTTTTCTCTAGTCTAAAGTTTTTAGTTCTGAGTCTCTCAGACATGCATTGTCTGTGTCAATGTGACATGATACGTATAACAAAGAGCGTGATGTACTTTCGTTGAACATAGTCAACTTGTTTTCTACAATTGTTTAATTTTGAGCAATTCAAAAGAGAAAAAAACAATTGACTGTACTCTACGCATTGCAACAGGTTCCCTTTCACAGAATACGAACATGAATTCGTAAGCACCTGCTGTTTCACTTTGACCGTAATTTATAAATTTATATGGGGTTAATAACACATAATCTTGTTTGACTCCTTTGACTCACGTCTGTATTATATTAAGTCTCGTTGCTCTTGACACATTTCTCTTTTAACTCTCTTTCAAACATAATCTCTCACTCCAAATATTTACACATTTTTCTAGAAAACTCTCTTCCAACCATGTCTGAAAGTGTAGATGATGTCGTTCTTCCCCGTTTCTTCAAGGTCTTCCTCTCAGAAACGTCTTCTGAGTTAATGGTAAACCTCGTCCTCTCTCTCTCTCTCTCTCTCTCTCTCTCTGTTTTTTCCTTCTTAACGTAACTGTAGCAAGTATAAAGTCTTAGACTTTAACGCAACTTCAAGAATTAGTGGGAAGTTATGGTTTAAGGGAAAGGAATCTTTAGTTAATTTAGGATGGAAGTGATAATAAGATGTTTCTCTTCATAAGTTAAATCTTTTGGTTTTAGTCTCATCTTATAAGAAAAATTTCAAGTATTAGTAGGAGATTTATGGTTTAGGAGGAAAGATATTAGCAGAAAGTAATTAGGGTGAAAGTGATAAAAATATTATTGACTTGTTCCTTCGTTTCTGATGTTGATGCTTCTGTGTTTGGTGATTCTCAGGCGCTTCCAATGTCTTTCATTGAGCATCTTGAAGACCCACTGCCACAAACGGCTAAGCTCCAAGGCACTGGAGGTGGTGTTTGGACTGTTAACTTCAAGAAGATACGTGACTGTGCGTATTTCACTTCAGGGTGGTCCACGTTTGCAGAGGACCATAAGCTCAAGGACGGGGAGTTCTTGACCTTTGTCTACGACGGTTCCCACACTTTTGAAGTCAGTGTCTTTGGTCGTTCTGGTTGTAAGGAGATAAGAGCTGCTGTGGAGACAGTTGACCTCTCTGATGCTAGTTCCGACAAAGAAGAAGAAGAAGAAGAAGAAGAAGAAGAAGAAGAAGAAGAGGAGTCTTCCATGGATGATGATTCTGATGAGGAAGAAGAAGAAAGTGATGATGATTCTTCTTTCATTGCTGGTGAAGATGATGAAATCAGCCAGAGTATCTACCCTGTTGGCAGTGAAGACACCGCATCAAATGCTGAAGGTTTTTGGATAGTTCTTGGTAGTAGTTAGTTACTAACTAACACACAAACTTGTTGCTAAAACATGCTTTCTTTTTTTTGTCTCAGTTGTTGCAGGGTTTTCCAATTTGGAGGTGGAGTCTAATCCATGCTTTACTACCACCCGCAAGAACAGGATATATGAGCTGGTAAGAAGAAAAAAAGACTTCAAGATTCGTTTTCTTATGGTTAGCTTATACATGTTTTACTGGCTTTGTGTGTGATGCAGTTGATTCCTGCAACTGTGGTGAAAGAACATGGACTTACATTTTGTAACCGCCTCAAGTACATTGATGGAGAAGGGATCTTGTATGGGGATAAAGGGAAATGGTCTGATGACAGGATTTGCTTCAAAGGATGGGACAGGATTTGTAGAAGGAACAGGCTTAAAGAGAATGATCGTGTCCACTGCGAGATGCTTCATATCAGGAAGAAAGTTCACTCCATCAAGATCACAGTCACTCGTGGTCGTGGTTGAATCACTCACCATCATCATCATCCGCTCATCACCATCACTCATCATCACCACTTATCACCATAACTATCTATGTCTTTTGTTTGTTTTAGGAGTGTTGTTGTTTTCCTTCTCAGGTTTTATCTTAGTAGTACTTTCTTTATCCCCAAGAATGTGTGTGAACTTATTGATGTTTCAAGTTGTACTTTGAATGCTTATTATGTAATGCATCTATGCCTTTTTAAGTATGTTTCCAAGGTGACAAAAAATCCAACAAAGCTTGATAGAACACAGAGACAGTGAAGCAAAAATTGTAGTTCATCTCTTTTCATAGGAGCTAAGAGCATTGAAAAGTTTAGATTGATAATAAAATATTCACATATCTGAATACTCCTTCTCCATTCTCATTGCACCCTGAAACTCCTCCACCACTTCAGACATCGATCATCTCATGTTCTGTTCTGCTCTATTTTGTTTCACGCACAACAATGTCCTCTCTGAAATCTTCCACATTGATCAGATACTGTGGAATCTTCTTCTTCTAGAGCTTGATTACTATTGTTTCCATTTTCTCTATGCAGATATTAAACCTAAAGAGATTGATGTTTTACATTATCTGCATGTTTCTTTCAACAGCATAAATAATAAAAACCTGAACGAATGTGGAAACACGTTGTCATAAAATCTACTAACTTACACAACTAGACTGCACAGTCTGCTGCAGTCCTTTTGGTTGTTGATCCCAGTTTCACGATCACCACCGTATTAAGCCCAACCAACAAGAAGATGTAACAAAAAATAGAAGTTTTAACAAAATTATATATTTCTTTCTTTTGTTAAAACTCAATTTCTTTTACCAAAAAGATTGTTTGACAACTTTTAGTACAGTACTAGGATAAGATCCGCGCTTTGCGCGGGATGAAGTTATTATTTTTATTATGTTTTGGAAAATGAAACAAAAGTTCGGTTTCATCTGGATTAAGGGTTTCAGTATTTCGGTTATTAAAATATAACTACTATTCTAAATCCATATTTACTTCAGTTTGATTTAGTTTATATATTGGTTTTCAGTTTATTCAATTTTATACCAAAATACATCATTATTTAGTTTGAGATCATATTATATATTATAAAAATAAATAATATGATCATATTTAGAGTCATATTGTCAAAACGTCATTTACTAAAAAAATATTATATATTTAAATAAAAGAATAAAAAACAAAAAGGCTTATATCATCTAATAAAATGATCAAATTTAGAATTAATATCAAATCTCTAAATTTTGAAAAAAAACAAAAAAAAACAGAAGCATGAAAGAAAAGTTTTTATATTCTTCCATATTTAGTGTTCATCAAATTAATATGTCTTCGTTTGAACACAACTCTGTTTGTTTAAAGATTAAAATTGTAAAGAATTTCAACTAACTGTTGTCCATCAAATTTATAATTTTTACTTCAATTTATTTACTATTAAAAAAAGCAAAAAAGATCAAAAAAAGAGTAAAAAAAATAAGAAGCCTCAGTTGCATTAAACTGTTAGTTAATTATAGTTCAAGTGATTCATTTAATTTACAAATCATAATTATATTTCGACTCATGTAACAAATAGATATACATATTTACATGTTTCAGTTTAATCGGTTATAAATCAAACCATATCCACATCTTACGGTTTTTATAAAATCACATACATTCGGTTTGTATGGTATATACCAAAAAGAATCATATTATTGATTGTGTTAATATCTTTTAAAAATATAAAATTAAAAAAAAAAGAACTAATATATTTAAATCATTGATAACAAAAAATTTCAATGTGAAAAATTTAATACGTTTATAATTTATAAATGTTCTTGAAAATTCATTGAACTTTTTGAAATTAAAATAATATGTAATCTTATATGGTATATAGTTTAATATATATATATATATATATATATATATATATATATATATTTGTTTGTTTTATTATTGAATGATACTTTTTACTCATATGGTTTTAAAATCATGTGTATATTTTTATAATAAAAATGTTAAACTATTGATCATTAATTTTTTACATAATAATTTTAATAGTTTTAGTCATTTATTCTCGTTTTTTTTAAATTCAAAATATAACGTATACGAAAAAAATCTAAAGTTTAATTTTATAGCTAATTTGATTTTTTAATTTATTTTAATAATATAAAATTAAAGAAAAATGATGGAGGAGATACAAATTGTTATCAAATATTTATTATTAAGAACATTAATTGTCATATATATATATATTTGTCATTTATGGTAATTACATAGCTTTTATTTAAGAAAAAAAAATAAAATAGTAATTATATCTAGCAAAACAATCATAAATGCTTATATCATAAATATCATATCATATCATATAGTTTGACCAATAAATATATCTAGCGACATATAAAAATCGAATGTGGACCTACTTATTTTTCAATTAAATGTAATTGACTACTTAATTGAGTGACACGTAAGCATGAGCTCTTTTTTAATTATTACAAAATTGAGGTTACAATTTTTCAAATGTTTCTCAATTAATATATAGGAGATATTGTTTAACCAACTTGTATACAACTTTTAGGTCAAAGGGTTATACTGCATTTATGAAAAGGATAATATTTTTCTATCAATGATTTGTATTATCTTTTGTTTATATGCGTATAGACTATGGTGAGGCCTAGTCAAAACAATGTTCAAAAGATATGAGGCCCGGAGAAGAAGCCCAATACCCAGTAAGTTGTATATACACTCGCTCGCCGTCGCCGGACTGATGAAGGAAAGACCAATGCGACTCCGTACCGTTGCATCAACTAAAGAGAGAATAGTATCGCTTGATGTGTACGTGTGTGTGTGTGTGTGACTCTGTGGATCCAGATGTTTCACTCTCACCAAATTTTGTATAACAGAGACGGTTTGGCGAGTCAATTCAATGTGGATAAGGCATGCTTAATTTTCCAAGTCTATATATCATTTTGACATTTCTTACAAACTCTTTGGGAAAGTCTGCATGCAAGTTCATTCTTCCATCTCTATCATTTTGACATTTAGCAGACTTCATCTTGAAAACCCCAATTTATTCATGTGCCCACTGAATTTCGGAAACATGAAGTTGAAATTCAGATGGTTTGTTATACTATATTTTCTATAGTATTATTTAGGTTGAAAAATATTTAATTCCGATATTTTTCTTGCGGTGAGTGGTGACCATTAATCTTAATGAAGTAAATTCGATAAAGAAAAAAGTTGACCATAAGGGTCAATATATATGTAACTTAAATTCTGTCCAAACTTAAATCTTGTAGAAAAATCAATCTAAACTATTAAAACTGAATTACAAATTTGAAATACTCATTAATTTTCTTCAATAATTACACATTTATGCCATTAAATTTATTTGTCATTTATTTATAATTCTAATCTATGAAAATTCAAATATCTTAATAAAATTAATATCTAACCTACCTATTTATAAGAAACTAATCTATATATAAAATTCTAATTATGCGATTTTCTTTTATGCCATTAAATTTATTTGTCATTTATTTATAATTCTAGTCTATGAAAATTCAAATATCTTAATAAAATTAATATCTAACCTACCTATTTATAAGAAACTAATCTATATATAAAATTCTAATTATGCGATTTTCTTTTTATAGCATAATCCTCATAGTAAGTCTTTTAATAAACAAATCTAAAATTTAATTGCAACTAATCAAATAAGTTAAGATATTAAAACTAAAGCAATGTTTATTAATAACTTCAATATATGTATATTAATTATATTTAGAAATATGTATAATAAATATATATATTTATAATAAAAATATCATATTTATTTATTATTAAGAACTAAAAATGTATATTCAACATAAATAATAAATTACTATAATAAATTAAGTAATATATAAACAAAAAATGATAATTCACCTTCATTGTTTATATATATATACATTCAATTTAACCCATAAAGAGATATATATATATATATATTAAATATAAAGATTATAAAACCATATTAAATATATATTAAATATTGTAAGTATCAAAATATATTTAATCAATAATATCTGAAATATTTTTTTTATATATATATATATATATTTTTTAAATATCCGTACAGCATCTCCAACCCCACTCCATAATTTACTGCAAAATGAAGTGGAAAATGAAGTGATGAGGAAATAAAAAAGTAATTATTCTATAAATGGAGTAATAGGTTTTTTTGTTTCTTCATCACTCTATTTTCCACTCCATTTTGCAGTAAATTATGGAGTGGGGTTGGAGATGCTCTATGTACGGGTAAGAATCTAGTTAGAAAGCTTCTAATGACAATTGTATGCTTACAAAATTTTAGTTGATGTCGGAGAGTGTTAAAATCCAAAGCCAATAATATTTTCAGCAAAGGATTTTTTTTTTTCTTTTGACATCAGAAACTGACGATGCGGCTAGAGGGCATAATGCATACAATATTAGAAGAATGGCGAAGTGCAAAATCAACATGGGTACACGATGAACATATATATAACACTATAACAGACTAACAGAGTGTAATCGCTTCCTAATAAATATTTTTGTATAATTTCTTGTTGTCACATTAATTTACATTTTACTTAATCTTGCAGAGAAATTACTTTAATTATTAGGGCCCTTATTATTATGTTAACTTGTTCTTTTGTCAAGAATGTTACTTTAATTTAAACAGGCTTTTATACAATGGGACATTCCAATAAAAATTGAAAGAAAATTTTAAATTAACATATAGGTTTCTTAAATATTTATAACATTACTATAAACATGAAACTTAAACCTATTATAACATAGGATATTCTTTAAAAAAACATAGGATAAAACGTAAAAAAAAAAGAACCCAACCCTATAATAAAGTAGCATAACATATATAAATATCGATCTTATTTAAATTATTAGTTTTATTACATTCTTCACCAGCGATGAATAGTTGGTACGAGTTCTAGAGGAACTTTCTTGGCGATGACGAAAGCTCCATCTTCGTCCATGTCAATGTCTTCAATGGTCATTCCCTCCGGCAAGGTCCAATCAAAGAAGTAAAGAAGGCTGAGAAGGCAGAGCTCAACCATGGCGATCCCCGTGGCCATCCCGGGACATACCCTACGTCCGGCTCCAAACGGCAATAGCTCAAAATGCTTACCCTTATACTCTATAGGGTTTTCCACAAACCTCTCGGGGATGAACTCTTCGGGATTTGTATAGTTTTTGGGATCACGTCCAATCGTATAAGTGTTGATTTGGATCATGGTGTTCTTAGGGATGTTAAAGCCTTGAATCTTGATGTTGGACATTGTTAGCCTTGGGAGCAAGAGAGGAGCTGGTGGGTGTAATCTGAATGTTTCCTCGATCACCAGCTTCAAGTACTCAACTTTCTCTAGATCTTCTTCTGTGATTCTCTCTTTGTTGGGTCCGAGTGTTGTTCGAATCTCTTCTTGGAGTTTTTTCATAACTCTTGGATGTCTGCTTAGCTCTGTCATTGTCCATATCATTGTGATGGCTCCCGCATTCACTCCAGCCAGAAACACGTCCTGGTGAAAAGACATATAGAATGATTCATGATACTGGTTTCAAAAGAGCATATAAAAATAGGGCGAATCTCTGGATATAAACTAAATTATGAAAAAATACTATTCAAAAAAAAAAAAAAAATCCTGAGAAGCATGAATTAAATGGTAAAATATGTAAATTATTTCAAATCCTAAACATTTACCATAACCTCATCAATAAAAGATTAAACCCTGAACTCTAATCACTAAACCTAAATATAAAATAAGTTTTAACTCTTGATTAGTCGCAATCCTACGATAGTTTACGTAAAAAATAAAAACTATTAAATTAAGAGCAATATGATTCAAGCCGGACGAATATAGACCAATAAACAAGATATTTGTTATAGAATTGTTCCTCAAGTTACCTCAAACTTTTTAGATTTTACTAAAAGAAAAGGATTATTTGTACTCACCGACATGACTCCTTTGAGATGGTCATCAGTGACTTTAAAAGAACCGACTTTACTGGGCTTGTTGATCATATCCAACATGACACTGATGATGTCTGAGTGATCTTGGGGTTGTCCTGTCTTCAGATGATCATCAATCACATGCTCAAAGAAAGTAGTGAGTTTAGCAAAGGCTTTCTTCAGCCTCGAGTGCTGGCCGGAGATCCGGTCAATGAGCCATCCCGCAGGGAAGAAGTCGGCTAACGACAACGAGCCGAGGTTGGTCTCTGACTCAAGCACCAACTCTTCTACTCTCTCCATATCGACAAAGTCACACTCGTGGAAGTTTTGTCCAAAAGCGAGTCTACAAATGATGCTGGCCGCATAGGAGAAGATGACTTTTCTCAAATCAACCCATGAGCTTGGTTTCTCATTAGCTGAGTTTGAGACCTTATTGACCAATAATTCGCTCTCTTCCTCTCTAATATACCTGAAGGACTTGAGTTTTTTCTGGCTAAAGAGCTCGAGCACCATGATTTTCCTCATCTCTCTCCAGTTCTCACCGAAAGGGGCGAAACCAACGTCTTTAAAGTTGTAAGTAAACAACCCGGTCCCGACCGTCTTAGGTCGGCTACAAGTCTCAAGATCATGAGTCTTGAGCACTTCCTCAGCTCCTTCTTTGGAAGAGACAATGATCACGGGGACTACCCCGAAATGGAGAAGCATCACCGGTCCATATTCTTGGGATATTTTGTGAAGAGATTTGTGAAGAAATCTTCCAAACTGGTGCAAGTTACCAATGATAGGTAGACCCGCAGGGCCAGGAAGAAGCTTCTCTTTGGAGGGTAACATTTTTTTGGAGAAAATTAACAAGAGAGGGAAGAGCAAGAGGAAACAAAGGTAGATAAACATTGTTTGTTGATTTTTTTTTTGTAGTGATGAGTAATTAATAAGTTCTCAAAGACGCAAATATATAGAGCCATTGAGACAAGGCATTTGGCTGGCTTTTGACTAACCAATTATTAATTATATTTTACTATCCATTTTTATACCAACAAAAAAAAGTTTGGTTTCACTCTATTATATAATGTGTTTGAATAAAGCCAACTCTCTCGAAGAACATACAGCATATAGGATGGATGATCAACACAAACGTTGGTTTTGTATATTTTATAACCATAATTGCTTTTTTCTTTGGTATTTAATCTCAGTTCTCCTCATTGCAATATTCAAGAAATAGACACTAAAACTCGAGTTTGCGTCTATGTCATTGTTGTGTAAATATCGAAATTTTAATTTCATATAATGCATGGCAAAATGAAAGAGAACAAGAAGATAATAAATAGCTCACTTTATACAAACCTTTAGTTATATTTGAACCATATTTCAAAGTCAATATATATATATATCAGAATTCATAAAGATATAAATTCCATATACATAATTAAATAAAATACAGCCGGTTCATATATATATATGAAAGATGTAAACAGTCCTGAGTCTCATGGTGCCTAAAGCGCAAGCATAAGATGTCAAAGATGATGCCCACTAACCAAAAAAAAATTGAATATTTTTTCTAAACCAAACAAAAACTCAAGATTACTTTTCACAATACTGAGTTCATTTGAAAAACTTACAGTTTAATTCTTAAATTTAAACTCTTTCCTTGATTGAACAGATTACTTGAAAATAGCATTGGTCTCCAGTTACATCAATTTTTTCTTGTATTCACTTAGCTGAGATCTTATTCTGTTTCCAGCATACACTATTTACAGATGCGTGAAAGATTAGAATACCTTCACAATTACTGAAATTGGAAAAGAGCACCACCTAATTAGTATACAAACACAAGACAACGATCACTCTGAAAATCTGTTTTGTTTGTAAATCTTATTGAATTTGTCATTGTCAAAACATGAGAGAGTCCAAGAGAAAGTATTTAAACCCAACAATAAATTTCTTGTTTGTTCATTGTTTTAAAGATACAGACCAAAAAAAGATACAGACGAAGTGTTTAAATGAAAAAGAAGATACAATAATTAGTAGAAGGAGAATCCAGTGGAAATTATTGAAACTCTTAACAGAAAATAAAAAATTAATCATATGCGTTACATGGCTGCTATTTGAAAGGGAAATTAGATTTTGTATATGATTTGTTTTATTTTATATGGTTATAGCATTTGATATAATATATAAAATTGGAAACTGAGACTGTCAACAAAGGAAACAAAATTTGTCAGAGTTTTCAGTAAAATAAAATAAAGAACGTAAAACGAGAGTTTGAACCTGCGCCGTTTCACCCGTATGAATAGAACAACGAGAAATAATTGTAAACGTTTGACGCCCCTAAAATAATTGTAGTCATGTTCGTTTGGTCGTCGCAGTTACCTGCGACTGCGGCTGCGTCAACTTTTAAAATAATTCTGTTCGTTTTGTTGCTACAGGTAGCTGCGGGTGACGCCGCGTCTGAACACCAACTCTTACGACTGACGCTGATAAAACGAGCGGTTGCGATGAAAAAGCTACGGCAAGCAAGGCAATTTACTTTTTTGTCCTTCATATGTTTCAGTATTCACAAAAATACCTAATCCTAATTGACGCAGCCGCATCTCTAATTTTCCCATTTGACGCAGCCGTATCTTCTTCTCTCTTCTCCACGAGCTCTCTCAGAGATCACCATTGATTCACAGACCACCATCCCCACGAGCTCTCTCTCTTTACTCCGCCGCAAACCCATTTCTGACCTCTCTCTCTTGATCTCTTCTCCGACCTCAAGCTTTCTCATCTCATCGCGAATCCATCTCTCTCGAGCTCTCTCCATCTCTCTGGAACTCTCTCCATCTCCATCTCGACCTCTCACCATCTCAGTGATATGGATTGAAAGAGACTCACCATGTCTACCTTGAGGAATCTGTTGCGATGTTTCTCGAGACTGTTGGTCAAGATAAGACGAAGCGGGATATTGTTGTAAGGTATCAAAGATCACTGGATACGGTACAAAGGAAGCTTGATGATGTCTTGAGTGCTCTTCTCAAGTTTGCAGCTGATACACTAAGACCACAAGAAGGCGAGTTTGGAAGAGTAAGTCCTGTTTTGAGGAATGATGATCGGTACTGGCCTCATTTCAGAGATTGTATTGGAGCACTTGATGGAACTCATGTCCCGGTTCGTCCTCCTCCTGAAGATGCAAAAGCATTCAGAGGCAGAAAGCAAGATCCTACAATGAATGTTCTTGCTATATGTAACTTCGACCTGAAGTTCATATATGCATATGTCGGTGTACCTGGTAGAGCACATGATACGAAGGTCTTGACTCATTGTGCGAGAAACGAGGCTTCTTTTCCACTTCCTCCTCCTGGAAAATATTATTTAGTTGACTCCGGATATCAGACCAGGACAGGGTATCTTGATCCGCATCGTAATATGCGATATCATCTTGGTCAATTTGCTACAGGAGGACCACCAGTTAGTGCAAGAGAGTTGTTCAACCGAAAGCATTCAGGTCTGCGATCAGTGATTGAGAGGACATTTGGAGTATGGAAAGCAAAATGGAGGATGTTGGATCGTAAACATCCAAAGTATGAGTTGGTCAAGTGGATTAAGTTGATGACAGCGACGATGGCGCTACACAACTTCATACGTGATTCACATCGGGAAGATCATGATTTTGTACAGTGGAAAAATGGTGATGATGGACAAGGAGAAGGAGAAGTAGCTGATAGTGACAGTGATGAAGAAGAAGGTGATGATGATGATGATGGTGATGATGATGGTGGTGGTGGAGGTGGTGGTGGTGCTGGACATATTGTATATGAGCCAACAGGTGATAGAGCGATGGAAGATTTGCGTGATAACATCACAAATGAATATGGTAGAGGTCGTTTACCATATTAAATGTTTGAGTTAATGATTTAGTTTCTTTTGCTTACAACTTTGATTATCATATAAATGCGATATTTAAGACTTAATGTATTTTTTTTTAACAACCAACTTATGTAATATTTAGCTTTTATTGTGATACATATTTATTTTTTTTTTTTCTAATTTAGCTTATGATGTATGAAAAAATATTATTGTTACATTTGTATAATTGACCAAAAAATTATTACCAAGTGAACATAATATTTTTAATGGATGTAAATATATTTAAACTATTTTTTTATTTATTTAAATACAATTTTACAAAATTTTATAAAAAAAATCTGAAAAATTGAAGATAGCCGCAGCAGCGTCTGTCAAACGAACAATCCAAAAATCTGTTTTTTGCGTCGGCGTCTACGGCTGCGTCAACTACATGCGTCTTATAAACGAACAAAAATTTGCGGCAACGACAGCGGCAGCATCAACGTCTGCTAAACGAACAACAACTGTCATCATTGACGCTGATGTTGCCGCCGACGCTGCCGCTGCCGCTGTTGTCGAAACCTGCGGCAACCAAACGAACAGGGCTGTATACGTTTTATGAACTTTAGCCTAGGACCGGCTCTCGATGAAAACTTTACGTTTATTAATATTAACCAACAACAATCTTCAAATTTCATGAAGAGAACCATATGTACATGTAGGAAAAAGACGTTTAGGGCATCTCCAATCCTATTCTATTTTTAACTCTAAAATAGAGTTTTAGAGTAAAAATGCTTCAATGGTATTCTATATTTCACTGTATAATATAGTGAAAAATAAGGTTACTTCAAATTTAGAGTAACTTATTTTTTTTGTTCATTACTCTATTTTTCACTCTAAAATAGAGTACAATTGAAGTAAATTCCAACTCTATTATATAGTGACTCTATTTTAGAGTAAAAAATAGTGTAAACCATTGGAGATGATCATTCTTTAGGCTATGATTTTTGATAACCTATATAGGTAGCAGTAGCACAAAACAAATTATGACAACTATAGCATATAAAGAGAAAATAATCCAAGCTAGGATATAAAGAGTAAAAAAAGAAATTATTATAAAATCAAAATCCTTTACCTTTATATATTCTACAGATACTAAGCATAAACCCTAATCAGCAGAACCGAAATCCAAATATAAAATATTTTTATTTTGTTTTAATTGATGCTATTAGAGAATTATTTTATATGCATGATTATTTTAAAAATAAAAATGTTTTAATACTGTTTATGATATTTTCATTTTTATATTCTATTTAAAAAACTCTGTAAATTTGTACGCGATTCTACGGCAATATATGAGGCAGACGCAAACAACTTCCGCACAAGTTGTACATGACAAAAGACAGTGGTAATAAAAATATCCATCCAAATATTTCTTTACGAACATGAATTTTTTACCAATTTAGTATGTGTCAATTCAACAATTCTCTTTTGACTTTAAATGATTATTGATTTTAATTTTCTAAGAAAGACACAATTTAGTTGCAACATGTAGCATTTCAGAGAGAACACCTGTAGCTGTCTCAAGAGTGTACCTCTTTTCTTTGATTCTTTTGGATGAATATATTGATAAGTAATCGACCTGCTTTTTCAATTTAGTAACGCTTCTTTCTCGATTCATATAATAATATTCTGGTTACTATTTTTGTTTGAAAAAAATATCATTAAGATCGTAAATTTTTAAATTAAAGTTAATAAAACTTCGAACTCATATTTGAGTCAAAAGGATCTTCAATTTTTTTTTTTTTAAATATCTTCAATTTTTAAATATTAATTATTTTAATTTTTATATATTGACTCGATCATTTAAAAAATAATCGGTGAGATGCATGACACAAACATATTTAGACCTAAAAAGTTAACATAAGATGAAAAATCTTCTCGGTTTGTACGTGTGTATTCCAGGAAAGATAAAGAAAAAGAGTGGGAGAAAACAAAAAGTCAACGAT